AATCACCTCGTCCTGGCATTTGTTACTATTAATCAAATGGACTCCACAGCCAGTCATCCCTAAGGAGCTCAGTCTTCTCCCTGGAGCTGCCACTAACTTGTGAGATGAGGTGGGGGATGGGTCAGGCAAACCCACCAAATTCCTACACATGGACTATAGGCACGAGGCTGTAGAGCAGATCTCTAGGGCTCATTGATCCTGCATCACTGAAGCTTGGTATCCTTTGACCAACATCTCTGTTTCTCCCTTCCCCTGCTAACCATCATTATATTCTGCTTCTATGTGTTTGAATATTTTAGATTCCTCATGTAAGTGGGATCATGTAGTGTTTGTACTTCTATGTCCGGTTTATTTTATTTGGCTTATGTCTTCAGGATTCATTCCTGTTGTCACAAATGCCAGGATTTCCTTTTTTTTAAAGGCTGAATAATATACGTTGTAGATATGTATGCATTTTCTCTAGCCATTCATGCGTCAGTGGACGTTTAGGTTGCTTCCGTGTCTTGGATACCGTAAATCATGGTGCAGCAAACATGGGTATGACAGTATCTCCTAGAGATCCTGATTTCAGTTCCTTTAGATACACACTCAGAAGTGAGGCTTCTGTTTCGTATGGTAGTTCTAGTTTTAATTTTTTTGAGGAAACACCACAGTGTTTTCCGTAGTGGCTGCATCAGTTTGCATTCCCACCAACACTGTATAAAGGTTCCCTTTTCTCCACATCTTAGCCAACACTTATCTTTAGTTTTGTTCTGAGCACTGTTATTCGAACAAGTGAGAAGTGATATCTCATTGGGATGCTGATCTCAGTATCTTCCCAAATCTTGTATTGCAGGTATTTTCGTCCAGCGTGTAAATGACACGTCACGCTGAGGATGCTGTTAAATGGCAAACAGCTGATCAGCAGAGGAGCTGGGCTTCACACTCTGGTCTTCACGGCACCAGGGCCCATGTTCTTTCCCCAGAACCTGACTCTATGACGATCGTGTTTATTAAACCTGAAATAATAATTTTTATTTCACTAAGAACTTTACATGGATTAGCCACTTAAATGCTCATAACAATCCTCGGAGTTACGTACTATCATTACATCCAGTTTATTGATAAGGAAACTCAGGCACCAAATGCTAACTACCTAGACAAAAATCCCACAGCCAGTAACCAGCAGACTGGCGTTCATGTCATGTGATCTGGTTCTAATGCCTACACTCTTAACTGCCACACTGTCATATATGGTTTAGCGTGTAGGGGTGAGCCTATTGGTACCTTGAACCAGGACACAAAATTTTCAAAAATATCCTGGGGAAACCCCTGGGACATGTATGAAGGAGTGTTAGAGACAAGGCAGGGATGTCAATTAATTTTGTCAGCAAGGTTCCTGAAAAACTGCACAACCAGTGATTGAAAGATAAGTCACAAAAGATCATCCATCCCATGAAATGGGACCTTTCTGAAGAGTTTTAATCAGGGAAGAACATGAATTACTTTAGCATCTTTTGGAAGTTGTTTATGTCATCAGAAGAAGAGGCAGAACTAGCAGCAGTTCCCAGCAGCAGTTCCCACTGAGCTTACGGGGGTAAAGTCCCTCACAGCCCAGCACAGTTCCCTCTCCTCCTGCTCCCTCCCTCCTTTTCCAGAGCCCACACTTCACTGCGCGTACACTAGTGAACAGTCATTGTCACTTCATCAGTCGGCTAGGGAAGGAGAAAATCATTCTAATCTTAAATCTTAGTCACTGTTTTGACGGCTGTTATACAGAAAGCTGACATCTCTATTGAGTTATCTGCTTTGACATCTCACTCACTAGTTTTTGAGATATTTTAATTATCTCAAGGATGCCATGGGAATGCATGCACAGAATCATAAGCTCTTCAGAATCCACAATGCTCATGTCATTTATGTTATTCTTGACAACGCGAGTGACCTTATGTTCTTGTTCCCATGCTGTTTAATGTCTTGGTTTTCTTAGTTCTTCTTGTAGCCATCCTTCTTCCTGATTGACCTGAGTAATTTGGTAATCTGCAAATCAGTCTTATTAGCTACTGGCTCTTTCTTCCTGATAATTAACCCATATGTTGAACAGTCATGTCTCCCTTTTCAAGGTTAATGAGAATACTTTTATTTCCAGCTCTTAACCTTGCTTAAGTCTAAGACAGAACATTTTTTTTTCTCACAAATTTCCAAATATGGTCATCCTTCAGTATCCTCTGTGGGGCGTTGGTTCCCAGACCCCCTGACCACACCCCCTTACCGAAGTTCTGGATGTTTAAGTTCCTTAGTTCGCCATCTGTATCTGTGGGTTCTGCAGATTCAACCAACCGTAGGTGGTGTTCTAGCATCTTAGTTGGTTGAATCTGCCCCTATGGAACCCACGGATAACGAGAGCCAAGTGAACAGAATTTTATCAGACGCTCTTGTTGAAGGACCTGATCAGAAGTCATCTAGTTTAGGGAAACATAAACTATCTCAGAAGGAAGGATATTAGATACAGTATCTGAGGCATGGAGGTGTAATGAGTTTAGAATGGAGTTGTTTGAGAGCATTAATAAGGAACACAACTCAGAGATGACAATAAATAATAATATGAATGAAAAAGCCAGTACCTGCCACGTATTGAGTAATGAGTGTGTGATGAGACACTTTGATGGGCATTTTGACATATTAGCTCATTTAATTCCATATAAAGACAGAATTCTTAACTCCACATTTTAAATGAGAACACTAAAGCCAAGAAAGATTATTTAATGTGCCCAAAGTTAGTAACTAAAAGAGCTGGAATTTCAATGCAGAATCTTTAGTAGTGAAGTCTGATAAAAAAGAAATGTTGACTGAAGGATGTGAGAAGTGAGAAGAATGTTCTTGAGTCAATAGATTAATTATGGAATTCCTCCCTGTGGAAGTCTCAGGCATTTAGGAGACAGGCCATTGCTTATAAGTAGAAAGAAGAATGTAATTTACAGACTCTGATGTTGATATTTTATGACAGAACAATGCCACTGAGAAAACTCTCAAGACATATTCTTTTTTTTTTTAAATGGAGGTCCAGGACCTCATGCATGCTAAGCACACACTGTACCACTGAGCTACACCCTTCCCCCCCTCAAGACATACTTACTATTTTTAAGTGTTGACTATTTTTGGAATATCTAAGATGCATCAGTTTTGAACTCCTTTTACTCTGCTCATTGTATTAAGAAATCTGAAATGGTTAGGACGAGACTTCTAGGAGCTGTCAATACTTCCTCAGTGCAGGAATGATTCTAAAGATCATCTGATTCCATCTAGTTTTGAGAATGGGCATCCGAATACCACCTTTGTGGTGATGGTTCAAAGGAAGGTGACAGTTCTTTGCTGTTCCTAAATAAACCCATTTTGCTGGTTCTATTGTTTTAGGTCAATACTTGGGATTTTTTATATAAGAAACAGTGTCATTTGTGAATAAAGATAAGCCCAAGAGGTTGAGGACAGTGGAACAAAGAAGAAATTAGGGTAGAAAAGATAAGATGAAACCAGAAGTGGGTGATTACATAGGTCAGTGATAAAATTCTTGCTTCTTTTCTTACTTTAAAGAATTTCTAGTACATTAGTATAAATTTTACAGTTTTCCAAGTACCTTGCCACCCCTTATTTTGTTGTGTAAAGAGAATAACCATAATGTAAACATTTTAATTTTTTTTTTTTGGCAAGGTGGAAAGCCCAGATTCAGAATGTCCAGATACAGTGATAATTGAACAAAGAACGGAATCCCAGTGTGTGAAAGGTCAGGGTCATGTCACATATACTCCATTTCATTACAGGATTATAAAGTCTTCGTGGGGGCAAGGTGGGTTAATGAGAATTTAATGTGACAGAATAGGAAGACTCAACTTGTGTTTTGTTTCTCATCGCTGTGAAGATGTAGCTGTTCATCCTTGGGGACAGAAGACTAACTCACGCATTTTTCAACTGATCTTATTCTCATAAAAGATAAAAATGGTGTCTGTTAATTCTTGGATCTAAAATATTTTCTGCATCCTAGTTAATCATTAGATTTCCTTGTTAAAGGAAAAAGCATGGAGAAAGACAAGTGGACAGTGGTCCTACAGCTGAAAGTAAAGACTACTTTGCTTGATGGGTTAGGAGGAGGTTAGGGGAGCTCTCCTGAGATTCGAAAGAATGAATGCACTTCTAGGTTCCTTAAGTTAGTGAGAACTACCCCCAGTAGCATGCAGGGAGTGGAGCCTTAAAAGGATAGGTGTTCAGGATCACAGCCAAGGAGCCATAGACCGTCTACGGTGACACTGTGGCTTGTGCAAATGAGAACCAGTACAGAACATTGAGTAATGGTGATGACTGTAGGTAGCCTGAATAAAAGGCTCCTTTCTAATTTTTGAGTAATCCTGAGAGCTTCTAGCATGTTCCAAGGTCATACAAAATGGCTGATTCGCATAGTTAAGCAGGAGTTTGAAAGGACATAAATTGATTTGCAGATAGAGAGAAAAAGGATCATTCATGCTCCTTGGATATCAAGGAGCAATTCATGCCCATTACACCAGCTAAGTGCTGAATATGCCGGGTATCACGGACCTGAGAAATACGTGTCTCCTGAGGGGGCAGCGTGGTATACCTGGCTGTGCCTTATAATATCCCAAAACATCTGCTAAAGATCCAGAACTAGAGGCTCCATCCCAGATGTGCCGAGTCAGAATATTGGTGCTAGAATGGAACACGGACACGTGTATTTTCCGCTTCTTGTCAGCCCTGCTCTGATCTGTGGACCGCTACTTGAGAACTCCTCGTCAGGTGATAAAACATGGGTTTTGGGTTCAGACAATTCAGGCTTTAAAATGAAGCTCAACCACTAATTTTGGACAAGTTACCTAAATTCGATGAGCTACAGATGTTTACTTATACAGTAGAGATAGAAGTATCTACTTTTCAGATATATGCGGAGATTAAATGGGATATTGTATTTAGAGTTTTCACTTCAGTGCTTAGAATGTAGTAGATATTTCTACATAAACATTAATACCTCTGTATTTTTCTATTTGATTTCAGGACATCATTCTATTTAGGTAGCCAAGTATTCTTGGAGTTTCTGAGTTAGTCCAGGTCTTTGGTGTCTAATCTAAAAGCTATCCTTCATCATAAACCTACCGATGGCTTCATCTCAAGTTGTTCTAGATTCTGACTGCAGGTCAGAACACTGAGAATGACACATCTGAAATGACTACGTGTCCTAATCTTTGCTCCACTAGAAGCCGTCTTGGAGATAGCCCAACTGAGGGTGATTAAAAGATTGCTTTTTCTGAGCCTGAATCTTTTCTGACAGGCTTATATGAAAAGTCTCCTTTGTGTTTTCCAGAAATGATACCATAGACAGATTAAGCCATTAATCAGGTTGAGTCAGGAAGGAAATGTCTGTGTTGATTATGTTAACACCTGGTCCGGTGATCACAGATGGGTTGTTTCAGTGTCCAAAGATATATGGGGTGGTGGTTTTCTAAAATGGAAAGAATTTGGAGTTAAAGTTAGAGGATCTGGACTTGAGCCCCTTCCTTCCTTCCTTCCTTCTTCTTCTTTTCCTTCCTTCCTTCCTTCCTTCCTTCTTCTTTTCCTTCCTTCCTTCCTCCCTTCCTTTCTTCCTTCCTTAACTATATGGATTTGGATAATTAAAATTACTGCCCTTAGCTTTACTTTCTTTTTCCATAAAATGGAAATGACAACTCCTTCTTAAACTGCCTCTCAAGAACTTTTATGAGGATTAAATGAGATAGATAATGTCTCATTTTATAAACTATAAATTTCTATGCAAGAGTAAATACAGTGTTTATGTTTCACGTTTATGTCTTAGATGACTCTGGAAATGAGGATGTGTACGAAAGGGAAAAAAACATTTTTTTTCTATTTATTGATTGCCTGTTCATGCAGTCATTTCTCATTAAGCAAATATGATCCTGAGAAGCCAGGATAAGAACATAGACTCTGTTAAGCCCTTACACTTGTACTGTTTCATTTAACTTTTACATCAGCCTTGAAGGTAGTTATTTTATCTGCATTGAGAAATTTGAGATCCAAAAAAAGATGAGTCATTAGACCAAGGTCACACAGCTAGTGGCAAGATGGAGACGCTAGCCTGGGTCGGTCTGATCGTAACAGGACCAAGCAGTATATGAACTAGAAGAGAAGTGATTTTTAAAATGTGTTAAAATCTTGAGGTGCTTTGGATGTCTCGGTAAGATCCCTTATTAAATAATAAGAATTTTTTGACTCTTATCACCTCTGCAAATTTGCATCTGGTAAAATTAGATATTTCTTAACCCTTGCTCTAAACCAGTGAAGTCACGCAGACCTATTTTAAACCTGTGTCTGATAAGATGGTAATTTAGATTCTTCTGTCAGTTACAGCCCACCCACCAGTCACGAAGTAGAACAAAATGTGGAGTGATTTAGTGAAGAGGGTTACAAAGATACCTGTGAGATGGGGGTAGCTGCTAAGGATTCGGTTGGTTTCTATCATCCTCAGAATGGCAGGAGCAGAAGCAGCTAGATTTTAAAGGCAAACATCACAGGATAATTGTGGCTTCATAAATAATTGTCACACCAAGGTCCTAGGAAAGTGAACTTCAGAATGACAACTTAGGTCCCAACCATGACCTGTACATCTGCAGAAGCAATTCTTTCTCTTCCCTTCTCGTCTAGTCCCTGTGTGTCTCGGGGTGGGATCATGTGGGAGGAGGTTCTCACATGAACTCATGTCAGTCTGCCCTGAATTTCCACTCTCACTTCTCCCCTGGGATCATGACACTGATTGCAGCTGCTTCTCTTCTAAGCTCTTAGCTTCAGCACCCTCTGGGCTTCTGACAGTAACAAAGTTGTCGCTTCTCTGCATGGGGTCTTCATGGTTCCTGCTTCCAAGGTCTGCCTCCTTTTCATCATCACTTAATGAATTTCTGGATGAATCCATTTATCCAAGACCCCATGGGTCTAAGAGAACCATGCTGGGGTTCTTGGAATTATAAGATGGAGGCAAAGAAAATGAAGCAATGGGTTCCGTCATTTATTTTTATTCACTTGATTGCACCTACTGAAAAGGATTCCATGGCATTTCTGCTTGAGTCCCAAGATTTTGTCACCCTTTGGTTTATATGCACACAGCCACAGAGGCTTGACTGTGATTACTTCCAGGAAAAATTCTCCGTACTGTACCCAGAAGCATTATTTTCTATTCTCTTAGGTTCCATAAAGTCACTTGGCTCCCATACATGGTGAAACAGAAAAGTGACATAGGTTTTAGAATGAGTTTTGACATAAGCAGGACCAGCTTCGTGGGTGTGCAACCTGTGTGGTAGACCGCGGCCCCTACTCAGAGGGGCCTGTGCTTGCTTTAATGCTCTGTGTATGTCTTGAAATTCTGCATAATCTTTTGACTAAAGAGGACTTGCATCTTCGTTTTGAACTGGGCCCTGCCAATTAGGTAGCTGATCCTTCTTTCAAGTTTACGACTGATTATGCTTCTTAACTTCTCTGAACCTCAGTTTTCTCATCTGTAAATCAGAAACAATGTCATCATACACATCTCAAAGTGTTCTTGAGCAGAATCAATCAGATACGATAGCAAATTGGCTAACAAAGATTTTGCCCAGGCACGAACCTCAATAAAGCATAACTTCTTTGCATCTAATCCAGGAGGGAGACATACTTATTAATATCATATTAGGTCAGCACTAAAACATTGGTTATATGTGTGCAGTTTCGCTTTGTGCTGGAGAAGATGATTATTTAGATTTTGCTGTTGTGAGATTAGATTAAATAAGAACGCTCCTTTTTCATGCACAGGTTACTGGTTTGAATCAATGTGCAAAGTGGTGAGGGAAACACTGCAGCAGAGGCAAAGGCCAAGATATCAGTCAGTTCTCATTATGGCCAAGCCAATACCAGGAGAACTCAGACTTCTCAGAGAAGCACTGAGCTTTATCAGCTGTAGTTGCCAGCCAAGGGTAAGGTGAGTGGTCAGAAAAAACTGTAGAGAAGAGTAAAGAATGAAGGAACGAAGGTTTAATGACATCTTAAAAACTTTGTGTCTAGTGCTGATCTAGCTGCTTCGAATGCATTATTTCATTTAATCTTCCTACAAATCCCATGAGGTAGATAACATTAGTAGTATCTTATAGATGAGAAAACTAAGCTCACAGAATATTTACAGTTCTAGAGAACACCCTGGAACTGATAATTGATGTCCGCAGTATTTAAAGACAGACCTAAATGGGGCAATGAAGATTATCTGGTAGCATGAGATTTCATCTCATGATGTAACTCTTAATTTTTTGGTAGGGCTGTGTTAAGAAGGATTCTGAGATTCTCATCTGAACTGGGAGGTATAGAGTGTCTTGCTCAATAACAATGCCGGCCTTGGGCTTTGGAAAAGTAGTGGTTGCAACTTAAGGCAGATATTTACCATCTTTGGTCTCATCTCCTCATTTTACAGAATACATCACGACTAAGAATATACTATAGTTACAATTTATGGTGTGAACTACTGCCTGAACCTGCTTTTAATCCTGAAGTCACTGACGCTTAGAACAAGGCTGTTTCATCAATCAAGCAACTAAATAACCAAAAAAAAAAAAGCAAAATAAAACAAAAAGGAATAAATTTATTGACATTTCAAGTATTAGTAGGAAAAATATTAGAGCTAAGAGGGTTTTTTTTTTAAGATCCATAAAATCATAATGTAGAGAGTGTTTCCAACTTTAGTATGCATCCATAGCCCTTAGAAGGCTTTTAAAATACAGTTTGCTGGACCCAACCTGCAGAATTTCTGATTCAGTAAGTTTCTGGGGTGGGGCCTGAGAATCTACAATTCTAGAAAGTTCCCTGATGAGGCTGATGCTCTGGTATGGGACTATGCTTTGAGGACTCCATATTAGTAACTTTTCCTTCACCATTGATTCCTTTTAAAATGAAATCAACTATTCAAACATTTAAAAAGTAAATCTGGTAGACTCAGTCTGCCACCCCCATGGGATTTGTTAACAAGTTCTGAAAATTATCTCAGGTTTTAAAAAAACTTAATGGTTGCTTCAGCAGCATATATACTAAAATCAAAACAACACAGGGAAGGCAAGCATGGCCCCTGCACAGGGATGACATGCAGATTCTTGAAGCGTTCCATATTCTTTTGGAATCCCTCGTACACTGTTGATGGGAATGAAAAGTGGTACAGCCACTATGGAAAACAGAAGTGGAGATTCCTCAAAAGTTAAAAATAGAAATACCATGTGATCCAGTAATCCCACTACTGGGTGTGTATCCAAAGGAATTCAAAGTAGGCTCTCAAAGAGTTATTTGCATACTCAAGTTAATATTGAAGCATTATTCACTACAGATAAGAGGTGGAAACAACCCAACTATCCATTGATAGATGAGTGGATAACGAAAACGTGGTGTATACATGCAATGGAATATTATTCAGGTTGAAAAAAATGGAACTGCTGTCACACATGACAGCATGGTTGAACCATAAGGACATTATGCTAAGTGAAGTAAGCCGGTTACCAGAGGATAAACGTTTGCTTCCACTTACATGAAGTATCTAAAGTAGTCAAACTCATAGGAATAGAAAGTAAAATGGTGGTTGCCAGGGGCTGGAACGGCGGGAAATACGGTATTAGGGTATAGAGTTTGTTTTGCAACATGAAAAAGTTCTAGAGATCTATTGCAAAGCAGTGCGAATATATCTAACATTACTGAACTGTACCCTTAAAAATAGTTACAATGGTAAATTTCATATGTGTATTTTGCCATGATTAAAGAAAAATGGCTAATTTAAAGATAATATTTTCCCCAAAAGACACAGCAGTCCTTAGTTGGAGCAGTATCTACAGAGAAGTGGAGAAGCAGGTCTTCGTGGTTACTCAGATGCGAGCTGGGGACTTACCCTGGTTCCAGTGTTAGCAACTTTCCCCCTGCCTATAGATTTCTAACCTCTCATATATGATTCTTTAAAGCACTGGTACTTGTGTCCAATTCAGAGATTCTAATTTGGTCTGTGATGTGGCCTGGATGATAGGATTTTTGAAAGATCCTCAGATGGTTTGAATTGTAGCCAGAGCTCTAAAGCATTGCTTGGATCAATGATTCATAAATTACGAAAGGTTTAAAAGGATCTCTTTGAAAGTTTGTCCAACTATATATGCTCAGTACTCCTCCATCCTCTTCCTCACAGCCCCAGGTAATTCTGATTATCACCTTCCTCCCCAACCAGTTGGAGAAATATAGCATTAGATGATTTCTGATACCTCTTTCAGATAAAATATGTCGATGATTACTCTTTTCTATGGGAGATTCTTCTGCTCAGCGGACTGGGCTGGATCTTATTTAAAGACATTGCTTTTTTTTTTGAACTTTAGTTATAGGGAATTGAGTTCGTCATCAGCAGGGTTTGCACGTGGCCAAAGTTTCTATTGCTGTTAGTGGGACAGTCTTAGTTTCGGCTGTGTGTGTACACAAAGCCCTCCTATCCTTTTAAATCCCCCTCAGTCACACTTCACAGTTAAAACATAGCATTTCGGCGTAAATTCAAACTGCTGAACTACAACAAAATTCCAGTTTTTTGCTTATGCATTGTTTGGCAGGCTATGAATAATTTAGAAGATGATCTGAAGAACAAAGGGCTAAAATTTCATTGCGTTAACGTTCACATGGAGGGATTAGGCCCTACCAAGGGTGATTTTCCTTGACTCCCTAAAAACCAGTGGTAGCAAATCAGAGGATGCCCAGGCAATCCTAAGGAATCGTGGCTGAATTATCAGGGTGCGCACATTACCAGAGAATCCCAAATGGAAACAACGCCTCACATATTCAGCCATTTGTAAGCCAGTTTAGATACCCATGAAATCAGAAATCTGGCAGCACAGGAAACGGGACTTGCCAACTTACTGCTGTTTAATATTAATTAAACTTAACATAACTCAGTTATCTGTTTCTCAGATATTCCCAGGCAGAATGCCAGAGAAAAAGAAATAAAATTGCATTCATAATATGTGTATATTTAATTTATATAATCATAAATGTTTTCATAATTATATAATGTGAATTATCATATAGTCTAGATTTCCAAATACTTGTAGAATAACTGAATAGGAGGAATGGATAAGACAAATTAATCATTTCCATGAAATAATTGCCTGGGAAAGTTAACATGAGAATACACTGACACAGGTGTTATCCATACAAATACACATTCTTAGTATACTGTGAAGAGGGCTAATACTGCCATGTGCCCTGCACAGCAAGCATTCAGGAGTGAGAGCAATTAAAACTACCTAGAATTTTATGAGAAGACATCATGAGGGAGTGACTACCCAGCTGTGTTTTAAAACATGTCTAAGAGTGACCAGTGGCATTACTGTGGTGGCATTACCTTGGAAAGGTATCCAGTAACCCATGAAGGACAAAAGAGGATAGCAATCTTGGTGAATATTCACTGCATCCAAACTCTGATGTCTTTCCCTTTGTGAAGATGATTATTTATATAGTGGAACTATCATTGGCTTTTCCTCATCTGGTATAAGCATGCAATATTTAACGCAGGGCAAGAAACATCCAATTTCCATTGAGCAACCCAATTTATATTACAGTTAGTCTTTGGACTATTTAGATGTTAAGCGTTATTGAAATGTATAAAATGAAACAACACGGTTCTACTGTACAGCACAGGGAAATATATTCAATACCTTGTAATAGCCTATAACGAAAAAGAATATGAAAAGGAATATATACATATATATGTATAAATGAATAACTATGCTGTATACCAGTAATTAACACAAAATTGTAAATCAACTATACTTCAATAAATATAAATAAATAGATTTAAAAAAACAGAAATGTATAAAATTAAATTATCATTCCCAGAATCAGAGCTAATGTAGCAGACACTGACACTGGTTGTACATATAGGGAGGAGTAGAAGAAATCAGGGATAAAGGGGCAGAGAACCCAAGTTCAGAGTCCCAGTCATGCCCTGGAATTTACTCCACAGAGCTCAGGTTTCATTAGATATAAAGTAAGGATAAATCTGTACTCCCCAAGCCGAGGTTGTAAATAAATTCAGTGTTGGCAGGGGTGGGGGGGCTTTGAAAACATACATATTCTCAAGACCTAGTCCCTGAATTATGTGTCAAGTAAGGCCTAAGAATGTGCATGTGTGAAAACATCCCAGGAAAGATGGCTGCTTCCAATCAAGATAGAATAACAGGGACTATGTTAACTGTCCTGCAGCATCAGCTGAGGAACTGGACACAACATATGAAACAATGATTAAGACACTGGGCATCAGACAACAAAAGCCAATAATCCTTGAGAGATAGGAACAAATAAGGTGAGTCCTGCAATTATCCCAGGTTACTGCCTTGAGAGAATTTCCAGGTTGTGCTGCTGGCAGGAGAGACCCAGGCTGAGTCTGTTGGTCTCCCTGTGTTGGGGAAATGAACTTGGGAGTCCAAGGAAGTCAAAGCGGCTACAGTTTGTAGAGTAGAGAGCTGGAGAGAAAAAGAACATACAGAGAGAACTCCAAAACACTGCTGAGGGTGACGTCTTTACTCTTCAGCTGAGTTCTGACCAGTATATGCAAGTGAGAAAACTGCGCACGGCCAGAGAAAAATGCAACATCAATTCCTGATGAACACGCTCGGCAAACTAGGAAAAAAAGGGAACTTAACCTAGTAAAGAGCATCTATGAAAAAAAAATCTTACAGTTAACATTATACTTACTGGTGAAAGAATTATTTCCCCTTAAGATCAGAACCAAGACAGGGACATCTGTTCTTACCATGTCTAGTCAACATGTACTGGAGGTGCTAGCTGGTGCATTTAGGCAAGAAAAATAAAAATAATTGCATCCGGGTTGGAAAGGATGAAGCGAACTTGCCTTTACTTGTAGGTGGCCTTATGGTCTATGGAGAAAGCTTGATGGAATTTACCAGAAAGCTACTAGAACCAATAGATGAGTTTAGCGAAGTTTCAGGATACAAGATTAACAGACAAAACTAAATTGCGTTTTAATATATTAGCAATTAATATTTGGAAATTGCAATAAATGTCATTTATAATAGCATAAAAATTGGAAATACTTAGGGATAAATCTAACAAAAGATGGATAAAACCTGTACATTAAAAACTATAAAATATTTCTGAGACAAATTAAAGACCTAAATAAATGGAGAGCTATACCTTGCCTATGGGTTGGAAGATTCAATACTGTTAGGATGTCAGTTACCCTCAAGTTGATATAAAGATTAAACACAATTCCAGTCAAAATTCCAGCAGGCTTTTTGGTAGAAATTAGCAAGCTGGTTTTAAGGTTCACAAAACTAACGCAAAAGATCTCAAATAGCCAACAGTAACAATAACCACAAATTCTGGAAATGAAAAGCAAAGTCAGAAGGCTAACACTACCTGATAGGTAACAAAAACTTGGCTAGCTCAAAATTATATCCTGCATCAGACAATTAGGAATATCCTGCAACTATATTAAATCATTGTTTTCCTATTTAGTAAATGACTGGTTTGATGAGCTAAACGATATGCTGGAGATGTATGAGTTACAGCTTATTTGCCAAATTATATCCAGGAAGAGAGGAAATATGAAGTATAGGGCGCTAGAGTCGGGGTCAAACAACTTGTGTTCTAACAGAACTCATATTTATTAATGCATACAGGTGGAGAAGGAGTATTTACCTGCTTCCCTTATTCTTTGTGAGGATTAAAGCATCTAAA